GTGTAGCTCTAAAACTGGAATGCAGCCTATCATTCACTAGGTGGCAGTGTTGCACTATTTGCAAAAAAGACCTATGTGCAACTTCAATAAACCTCAAAAACACTTTGTGAATTAAGCAGCCACAAGCAGCAAACAAGCATAATGATCAAATTAACTGGCAAAATAGCCAGTTTCAGAGATTTATGGTTTCCAGGCTACTAAATTGTTTATTTAGCGCTGTCTCAGCTGTCGCATGTCATTAGTTATTAATTCATGAGCCTTGTTTATACAGTGTAAAGTGCATGTGTCTGCTATTCTGTTTACTTCTGGGTCCTAAGACCAAATTGACACTATCTGTACTGCTAGATTCAGGTCCCAGTCACACGAGTGGGATGATCCGCTGCTGAAGGGAGGCAAATTAGAGCCGGAGCCAAAAGAACCGCAGGAGTGTGATCCGACGTGCCCCCACGCCTCCGTGCTCCGGCAGCCGATCACACGTTGTGCAGCAAACCGGCAGTGCACATGTGCGAGACGAGGAACAGTGTTGGCTGCGACGGGCTACCAGCGCTTCCCCAACCAGACGCCTGGAGTTGCCACACATCATCCGGAAGGTAGTGCTCTGTTGCTAGTACCTTTTAAATGTGCGTTTTCTGGCCGAAGGGCCCGATCGGGGACGGGTGCGTGATGCTCCCCAAATGCTGCAGTGTGATCGCGCCCACTTGATGTGCCCTCGATCCATCCCTCTTGCGGGGCAAATCCTCCCGTGTGACCGGGGTCTATGATAATTTGCCCAGCTGAAGGAAATTATTCAGGAGCTTATGATTCAAATTGGGGTATGGCCAAGGTTTTGATTTTTTGAATCATAGCTGTCCAAACTGTAAGTGAAAGGCAAAGTGGCAAACGCTCCAGACCCAGACAATGCAGGGCCCAAGCTTCATGCAACAGGCAGAGAGAAGGAACCTGCTAGCATAGCAACATGGCCTGGAAGAGCCAGCACGCTCAAAAGCAGGGGTGTCAAACATAAGGACCGGCCCATCTAGGGCTCTTATACAGCCTACAAGCAATTGGTGCAAGGGAGGGAACAGAAGACTGCTTGGGAATGGGGAGTGGATGGAGCCACTCCAACTGTGATTTCAGCCTGGTGGAACAACTTCATCTGCAGCAGTCAAGCAGCGTGGGAGTGCCTGCCCAGTGCTGCACCACTGGATCTCCAGTCTGCCCATGTAGGTTTTCCTCTATACCCCCTACCAGCCCATGGGGCCTTGCAGTGAGGATACACCAACTCGGAGCTTATGAACTGCTGTCGTTTATATTTTTTATGTCTCCAGTACCTAGCATTATGTTTTATGGCACACATGGCCCGGCCCGACAAAGCGTACTTTATGTCAGATCTGGCCCTTGTAACAAATGAGTTTGACACTTAGGCTCCAAAGTATCGATAACTTCAAAAGGAGGACCTGTGCAAATTATGGAGACATTCTCAATGAACTGAGGTATAGCGATATAATGTCAGACTAGTCATATAAGAACATAAGAGCACTTGGATGTTGGATCAGGACAAAGGCCCATCCAGTTCAACACTCTGTGTCACACAGTGGCCAGAAATACCAGTGCCATCAGGAGGTCCACCAGTGGGGCCAGGACATTAGAAGCCCTCTCATTGTTGACCCCACCAAGCTCAGTCGTCGTTTCTCCAAGCTAAAGAGCCCTAAGCGCTTTAACCTTTCCTCATAGGGAAAGTGTTCCAACCCTTTTATCATTCGAGTTGCCCTTTTCTGCACTTTTTCCAAAGCTATAATATCCTTTTTAAGGTGTGGTGCCCAGAACTGCACACAGTATTCCAAATGAGGTCTCACCATTGATTTATATAGGGGCATTATTATATTGGCTGATCTGTTTTCAATACCCTTCCTAATAATCCCCAGCATAGCATTGGCCTTCTTTATTGCAGTCACACACTGTCTCGACATTTTCAGTGAGTTATCTACTACAACTCCAAGATCTCTCTCTTGATCTGTCTCTGCCAGTTCAGACCCCATCAATGTGTATTTATATTTAGGATTTTTGGCTCCAATGTGCATCACCTTGCACTTGGTCACATTGAACCCCATTTGCCATGTTGACGCCCACTCGCCCATCCTTGACAGATCCCCTTGGAGTGCTTCACAATCCTCACTGGTTTTCACCACCCTGAACAACTTTGTATCATCTGCAAATTTAGCCACTTCACTGCTTACTCCCATCTCCAAATCATTAATGAACAAGTTAAAAAGCAGTGGACCAAGTACTGATCCCTGCGGTACCCCACTGCTTACCACCCTCCACTGAGAAAATTGCCCATTTATACTCACTCTCTGTTTTCTATTAATTAGCCAGTTTTTGATCCATAAAAGGATTTATTTAATGACTTGTCCTTTTATCCCATGATTTTTGAGCTTACTTAGGAGCCTTTGATGAGGAATATCTAAATATTTGATGATATCTAAAACATGGCAGAGAGCCACTAGTCTAAGAAATACATACCAGAAGTTGAAGGTCAAGGTGTGTGTGTTTATTTAGACAACATGTACATTTAGAAAATTCATATTTTGCTTATTCAGACACCTGCTGGAAGCAGCTTGCAAGGCAAAAACAATACAACAAAACAATAAAACCAAAAATAGACAGTTCTTCAGCTTTGGGCTTTTTGTTTGTTTGCTGGCAACCCTTTTGTGCCCATTTGGCAAGATACCTTAGCTTTCAGTTATGTCACTTATTCTGTTATTTTAGCTTTGGTAGGTAATGCATTATTGTGATCAAAATGCTACATGGGAAACTGGATGCTAATCTGGAATTAGCACACTATTCCTCTTTGGTTTTAGATAGATATCTCAAATTCTTCAGATTCTCAGAGTACTGGGGGTGGGGGAAGCCTATGGAAAGGTCTATATATCTGGTGGAGAATGTGAGATTCACTTACAGAAACACTATAGGTGGAAATAGTGTGCCCTAAAGGGAGCTTAACTCTGGGAGTTTGTTATCTCCCACCAGATCAAAAGTTAGAGGATGATTAAAAAACAGCAAAAGAATTAAGGAAAGCAGTTAGATGAAATAACTGTCATAATAGGTGACTTCAACTACCCACACATTGATTGGGTCAATATTTGTTCAAGTCAGGAGAAAGAGATTGGGTTTCTAAATACTCTCAATGACTGTGCCATGGAGCAAATGGTAACAAAATCTACTAGGGCAGAGGCAGCTAAAAGACTTATATTATGACAGTGGAAGGATAAAAGACCAACTCTGGCAAATCGACAGAGGACCTTAGAACTGTATTAATATTTGAATGCATGGCATATGGATGGCAACTGCATATGGTCTTATTTTTAGATACCTTGAAACAGTTTATAAAAACTTATGTGTAGATCTGCCACCACATTTTTGTCTCAATGTGTACCCTCTTTAAAAATTCTGTTTAGTTGTTGGATTTTCCCCCTTGCTCTTTTTCTCTCTGTGTGTGTTTTGGTGAAAGAAAAAACAAATTAAAAAACACTGAAGTAAATAAATAAGAGTGAAATAGTACAGAACAGGTAATGTTTGCAAATACATTTTTAAAAGTGGTGTTTTGAAATGGATAAATGCAAAGTGTGTGTGAGAGAGAACAAAAATGAGTTAACTTCTAAAAGTAGTATTTAAAGGAAAGATTCCTTTGCATCCTTTAGCCGAGGTTCTTGCTAGGAAGATGCAATGAAATAGAGTGAGACCAGCTTGAATAGGAGGAGGTGGTGCTCCCCACCAATATGGCTAAATCAGCAGTTGGGAGAAGGGGCAGATGAGAAGAATTAACTAAACTGAACCAGAAGACACAGCCTGAGAAATATGGTCAGTGAGGGTAAGGCAGGATTTAGGAAACTCACAATGGCTCCAGGTTTTACTCTTACTGGTTTTACCAGTCTTCCTGCTCCATCCACTTGTTAACAACATTCCTTCTATCAGTGTTGTACTTCTCAATCAGAACACTTGGGTATTGTTTGTACTACATTATGTTTCTTTCTGGGAAAAGTCAGCAAGTTGAAATAATTTGTATAATTTATTTAATGATTTTCTTTCAGGTTTAAAACACCTGTTCTTCCTGAAGGCTGCCAGAGTGACTAAGACCAAAGTCCAAAAACAAATGCCCAGTTGCGTAACACATCAATGCCACTGTCAACAAATTTACAAATCTCCATCGTGAAAGGGAGGAAGGAATTTTATGTCCCTTTCACTTCCTGCCTCTGATCAAGAGAGCTCCATTCCACTGTAAGATTTGGTTAGAACAAGAACGTTTGTTAGTTCTGAAGCATTGCAACTCCTCTGTCACATGCGCGATGGTTTGCGAAAGCCTGAGCCTATTTGGTAGCCAGGGAAATTATTTTAATGAGGATTTTCTTCAAAAATTGTATCTGGCTTCAAACCTATTATTCATGAGCCGAATTACACATTCAGCAGTGTGGGCAACCCCCGACCCTAACCTGGATAGCCCAGGCTAGTGAAATCCCGGAAGCTAGGCAGGGTCGGCCCCATTCTAAGTCGAGTTACACCCTTCTGGGTTCACAGATATCAATGGGCTGAGAAGGGTGTAACTCTGCTTGGGATTGGCACTGCGTGAGTCGCTCGAAGACTTTGCCGGGACGAACTCCACCCGCTAGACCCACCTGCGAGTTTACGTGACAGGCTGTTTTTCCAAGGCCTGCAGGCGGCGTCATTCCCCGGCAACCCGCTCCCGGACCAGGAAAAGAAAGCCGGGAAAGAAAGGCACTTTAAAAGCTCCACGGACGTGGCAGCAAACGCCTTCCTTTGAAACGAACCTGGTCTCCAAGCGAGCACTCCCCGCCCCTCGCCGCAGGTGGGGCGGGAGGAACAACCCAAAGCAACCCGCTCCCTTCCAGTCCGACCAGCGCCTGGCCGATCCGCTCCCAGCCGGCTGGCCGCTGCTGCTGCTGCTGTGCTGCGCGCTTCCTCCTCGCCCCAAGCGCGGCTGCCTCGAAGTTGCGCCCGGAGCAGAAAGCGCGGGGGGGGGGGGGGCTCCCCTGAGAGGGCTGAGCGAAGATGCGGCTCGGCAACAACAGTGAGTAGCGGCGCCCACCTGACGGCTCGGCTTTCTTTTCTTCCTGGGGATGGGACTTGGCTCTCTCGAAACGTGGCTCCGAACCGGGACCAAAGTGCCCAGCCTCCTGCAGGGTGAAGGAAACCGCGCTTGTCCGGGGGGAGGGCTTTTCCTTCAGTACTGGGCAGAGGCGGTCCATTAGGCACGCGGGGGGGGGGCGGGGGGCGAGGTGAGTGCACTCTGCCTTCGTGGCGGGGGGCGGGGGCCCCCCCTCCCCCCCTCCTCTAGAATCCTCCTCAGCTCTCTTCAGTATGGGACTTCCCCGCAGGAAAGTTCCTTTCGGCCGTGCTGCCCAGTCCTGTGCACGTTTATGCGGAAGTGAAGTCCCCACCAGAGGTCAGCCAGGCTTCATTCCCAGAGAAGTCTGCAACCCTTCGCGCTCAGCTCCCTGCGAGGGTTTCCACTTTCCACGTATATTCTCTAACACTTTCCCACCGAGCCTGGTGCTTCTGACGCTTGAACAGGCTTTCTCCAACGGATTCCTCAGCAAACAAACTGTAGGGAGCAGCGCTGCCCTTAGATTTCTAGTGAGCCCTCTGCAGATCCGAGGGGACAAGCCTGGCGGTTCCCCTGTCTAGCACTTCAGCCCTTAAGAGGAAGTGCTCGAAAGCAAGTCTCATTTCCTTTTGCCAAGGGGGGAAATCAGTAGCATTAATTATTCTAAATATGTCATAAATAAGCAAGTCTGTTTTTGGATTCATTATCTGGCAGAATGTAAAAAAAAATATTGGGGTGGTGGGAGACCAAATGTTGAGTATGGACAGAAGGGCCAAGTCTGCAGATAGTTTCAAATGGAACAGAGAGGTTACACAGACTCCCTGATACTGGGCTAAGGAATGCTTGGTTCCAACAGATCTCAGATTGCACTGACCAGTATAGGAACAGACAGGCATGGCTGTTCTCTGTTTGAACACTTTGCTATTTGGATCTTGGATGCCTTGTTGTTTCTGGGATCAGCTACTACCACATTTTTAGGGTAAATGGGTCAAAATCTGTGCATTGGTGGTGGGGGGGGGGGATGGAGCTGAACAAAATTTGAGTCCAGTGGTACCTTTAAGACCAACAAAATTTTATTCCAGGCATAAGCTTGCATGTGCACGCACACTTCTTCAGATACAAGGAAATGGAAGTTACCAGTCCATACATATAGGTAGCGTATACATGTAGTGTGCATGCACATGAAAGCTCGTACCTTAAATAAAACTTTGTTGGTCTTAAAGGACTCAAACTTTGTTCTGCTGCTTCGGACCAACACGACTGCCCACCTGAATCTATCTAGAGGGAGCTGAATATGATAAAGTTTGATTGCAGGCTGAAGAGTGTGCAGTCAGCTGTGTGTTAAGTGCTTAAGCCTCTGTAATGAATAGTGTGTGCTAGTTAAATCTACCCCCTCCCCACGACACATACACAGTTCTACCCAATCTAGCCTTCTGTAGGGGCTGTTCTTATCATTTAAAAAAAGTAACCATGACAATTCCTTGAACACTACATTGTCCCACAGTAATCTGTACAAATGTTTTCATAGTTGGAAGGGAGAAGTTATGCCCCTTGCAGTTAAAGGGATCCTAGCAATGGTTGTGTGATCTCTCTTGTTCCTGCATGGGCTTTTTTTTTTGCTTTTGTGTACCTTGTGATTTCCATCTCTCTGTATGTGCTCTGCAGACTTTTCTCTGAGTTCTGCCTTGAGTCAATGTGTGCTCCCATCTCTAGCATATTCCCTGTGCTTCCTGAGGAAGACCCACTGCATTAAAAAAATCCCTTCATTTTTATCCCTCTTTCTCCACAATGGGGACACAAAGAAGCTTACATCATTCTGCCCTCCTTTATTTTGTCCTCACAACAACCCTGTGAGGTAATGAGTGTGTGATTGGCCCGAGGTCACCTAGCAAGCCTCCATGACAGAGTGGGGATTTAAACTTGGGTTTCCCAGATCCCAGTCCATCACTAACCACTATACCACCTGGCTTTCATACACCACAATATGAAGCCAAACCAGGCCTGTAGCTACAGTGGGTCATTTTGGGGCTCCGCCCCCTCAAATGTGAGGCATGGCCCACAACAGCTGCTGCCCCTCTCCCCCCTCCCTCTCCTCCTGTGACATTAAAATGGCCCTCCACCTGATCGGCGGGAGCATGTGGCCTGCCAATCAGCTGGAAGGCCCTTTAAATCTTGCAGCTGCCCCGCTCCCTCCCCTCCTCCAAAATTTAAAGGCTCTCCAGCTGATCAGTGGGGCCATTTAAAGCTTCCAGGAGGTGAAGGAGAGGGGCGACTGCCAGCCACATGCCTTCCCTGAACTCCAGGCGGCGATTTCACTGTTTGGAGTTCAGGCGTGGGCAGCCCCCCCTTGAAAAACAGCATTTAAAGGGTTCCCTTTAAATGCTGTTTTTCTAGTGGGGGCTGCCCACACCTGATCTTCAAGTGATGAAATTGCTGCTTGGAGTTCAGGGAAGGCGTGTGGCTGCTCCTCCCCTCCCCCGCTGCCCCACAAAATTTCCCTGTACCCCACCAACCCAAAATTTCTGGTTATGGGAGAACCGGGTTTGACTCCCCACTCCTCCACTTCAAGCTCCTGGATGACCTTGGGCAAGCCGTAGTTCTGTCAGAGCTGTCCTTGAAAGGGCAGTTCTTGAAATAACTCTCTCAGCCCCACCTACCTCACAGGGTGTCTGTTGTGGGGAGGGAAAGGGAAAGGCGTTTGTAAGCCGTTCTGAGACTACCAGTGAAGGGCAGGGTATAAATCCAATCTCCTCCTCCTCCTCCTCCTTGGCTGAGCCAAACTGCTGAAAAATGCTCTTTCATTCTTAGCAGCTCTGCACCAACTCACAGAATAGGGAATATAAGGTGATTTTGGACTTAGTAACAGCCTATAACTTCTAGTTGTCAAGACTGGTCATAAAACTCTAGTATTACTGATGATGGATAGGCTGATGATAGCGTCGTACAGTCATTGCAAGAGTTCAAGGTCCAAAATTTAAATAAGCTTGTACTGTGTTCCTATAGAAACAAGATTAGAAAGATCTTTATAAGCAAAGAGGAGTTAGTACTTTGCCATAAATTAGTTATTTTTTCATTGGCACCAGGAAAGCTGCTTGAGGAACATTTGGCGCCTTGGAGAAGTCATTGTTGGGGGATTCTTGTCTCCCATGCTCATCTATTTGGCCTTCTCTTCCCCGCTTTAATAACAGCCCAGAAGTGAGGGTTTTGGCAGAGCGCTTTCTCTATCAATGCAACATTATAACAGGAAAAGCTGTATCTGCTTCACGTTCTCCATTGTGGTTCAGCCATAAAAGGCTCACAAAATCCTCTGGGAAGGCAGGAATGATTGCTGTGTTCCAGTTCCTCTCACTAAAAAAAGAAGAAGCTATCTTCCCCATCAAATCTCCATGCACCAGCATCAGAAAGTTTCCCATTGGCTGCCCAAACCTATGCAGAATCTCCCTTCTAGTGCAAAACTTCCTGCGGGTGGTAGAACCTTTCAGATGTGAACATTTCCATGTGAAGCACTGCCTTGCGAAGGCAGTGATGCTCACAGGGAAGCTGATGATCATCACCTAGTACTGCCTTCCTCGGACTTTAGCACTTCTGTTTTGCAAGCAAGGGATTGGATATTTGGATGAAAATGAGGGCAAGTCTTTCTTTATCAGCTGGAAAATAGCTGACATGTAAATTCTGAGATAATTTGTATCTCTCTGATTAATATTTTTTGACATGACACTATTTAATAGTTTCAAAAGAAAGATATACTTCAGATGCATTTTTTCCAGTGCTCCTCCAAATTTCCCAGTTTTTTCTGATGGAAAAATGGGGGAGGAGCCCTCATGCTATACATCTTGAGTTAATAAAACTTGTCTTTTAAAGCATTTCACTTATTCCAAAATGGGAAAAAAGCCTTTCATAGTAGTTTTTTCCCCTATTATTTCCCAAAATTTCTGTCATAAAGACTGAACAAAGGTCCTCAGACTTTAATGTTATACATTTTGAGTGAGCAAAATCTTCTCTTAAAAGGCATTTCATTCATTTATCTCAAAGAAAAATGCTACATAGGAATGTTTTCCATGGTCCCTAAATTTCCCTATTTTTTCATTTGAAAAAAATCGTTTGGGGAAGATAGGCATTTCCCACCCACCCCCTTTCTTCTGTTTTTGGAGGGGACTTCACTTCAGACCAGATTTTTAAAAATGAGTTTATATGGTATGTTACCATGTGTGTTTGCAATTGCATTTTGTCTGTACTGTGCTTATGCTGTGTTGGTCAAATGTCTGTGTATCTGTGCATTTGGGACTCAGGGATCACTGCTGTGTGTGTTTGATGCTGTGTGTTTGAATGGCTGGCCTTGCACCTCATGCTGCCTATGGATGGGCATGGCTTGAGCTGCCTGCCACAAGACACATGCCTCCCTGGAATCTCCCAGAGTGCCTCTGGACAAAGGAGACCAGAGCCATTATGCACAATGAGAGACTTGGAGAAACAACAGGCTTTTCCACCATTGGCGAACTGTGGGAAAGCACGCAATTCTCCCTGGTATCTGGTTTTGGAATCACAAAGACAACTTCCTTGATTGCCTATGGACCAGGCGCATCTTCTGCAAGTCAAAGGTTACCAATGGAAACAACAGTTTCACACCTGGCCACATGGCCCCCTTTGAAGTTAGGGTAGTATATCTGCATATTACCCCCTTCCCCTCATTAGGACGTCACCACTCTTTGACCTATAGCCTTAGCAAAGAAGACGGACCCTAAGGGTTTATGGCCGTAAGCCAAGCCCAAAAACGTAGCTTTTAAAAAGAGGAACACAGCCTTTGTTTCTCTGGTTAACCCACCCCTCCCCTACCTTGCAACTTAAGTGCTGCAGGTGAGTCTTACTGCGTTCCCAGGAGTCGCGACCCAGAAACCCGCACGTGGCTTGGCCGGTCCAGCTCGTGTGCTTTTAGAATTAACCCGCTGATCCTTAAGCTGCTCCCCCTTTTACTACGAGGAGATTTCTCCCCAGCTTGGACCTCAGATAAGTATAAGCGATATCCTGTTGTGTTATCCCCCTTGTCTGTTGCTTTTGTTATTTTCCTTGCTGATTGCTTTCTATGAACTATTGTAACTAAGGATCTTGTGAGAATCTGTGTATGCATCTGTTTTCGTATGCTTGAGAACTGTTTAGTAAAAGGCAACATTTATTCATAAACCTAGCGTGTTGTCTCAATTCCTGGGAATTAGGAGCGTTTCGTTGGCCAATCTGACCTCTGTATACACTGGCAAAGTACTCACGCCACGCCCACTGTTGTAGATAAATCAGAATTGGGCTCCCCGAACCGTCCTTAGAGGAGGTTCAGTAACAGCAAGTTGATCTGGCCATGTGGATCCATGCTACGTAGGGTTGCCATCCTGTGATAGGCTATTTACAGTGTACCAACCCCCATAGGTCTAGTCCAGGATCTGGGTTGACCAATTGGTTGGTTTCAGGATCCTAGCCTGCTATTGTTCTAGTTAGCGAAGCTTTGCTACTTCGCATGACTGCATGCGAACCCAACTGTGTGCAGTCTGTGGTTGGTACCCCTCCCCCAAGGTTCTGACCTTCCCTAGCTGACAAAGTCCTTGTGGTAAGCGGGTCTCCGCCGCTCCCAGGTAGAGCATCGTAGCTCGGTAGCTGGGGCCGTCTGCTCTGGAGCTCTTCCTGACAGTTCAGCTGAAGTACCCGGGAGACGTTCTGGTGCCTGCTCATGCCCTGGCTCGTGGCACGGTCTGGGTGAAGCCGGTCTAGCCGGGTCATGAGGTGCCTTCCCATTAGGAGGTTGGTGGGGCTGCAACCAGTTGCTGTGTGGGGTGTTATGCACTGGCTGAAGAGGAAGGCTGTGAGCCGGTAGTCCCAGTCTCCTGGGCCCATTCTGCGCAGGGACTCTTTCATTGTCCTGACCATGCGTTTGGCCTGACCGTTGGTTGCAGTGTGGAATGGCGTGGAGCAGATGTGCCGAATACCTTAGTAGCTCACGAACTCCTGGAACTCCCTGGATGTGAAGGCCGTCCCGTTGTCGGTTACCAAGGAGTCTGGGATGCCATGTGTGTTGAAAATCCACCACATCATGCGGATGGCAGAGCGAGACGAGGGGGAGGGGACCGGGACCACTTCTAGCCATTTGGTGTAGGAGTCCACCAATATGAAGAAGATTTGCCCCTGGAAGGGGCCGGTGAAGTCCAGATGTAGACAGGCCCATGGCTTGTGTGAGGACTCCCACGGACGCACTGGGGCTCTCGGCGTGTCTGGCAGCGCTTCACCCGGTCCTCAATTTCACCATCCATTCCTGGCTACCAAACATAGCCCAGGTCAATGCTTTCATGCACACAATCCCTGGGTGTGTTTCATGTAAATCGGCCAGCACCTGCTAGTGAAGCGGAGCAAGTATGCCCACCCAGCTACCCCAAAGTAGGCAGACCTTGTGGGATGACAACTCGTCCCGGCACAAAGAAAATGCAGCAAATTCTGGGCCTGCCATCCCCTCCCCACCCAGTCCAAGACCCAGGGGAGGATGCGGTTCTTGGCGGTATGGCGGGAAACCTCGGCAACCTGGACTGGACGGTCAGGCAGGTCCTTCAGCAGGGTGATCTGGTGCGTGGGAGCCGGGTCCGGGTCACTGGATGGCAGCGGCAAGCGGCTGAGTGTGTTGGCGTGGCCCATCACTTTGCCAGGGCAGTGGACGAGTGCATACTGGTAGCTGGCCAAGAAGATGGACCAGTGGAGCACTCAGGGTGATAGCATCTGGGGAGTCTGGTGTTCTGGGGCCAGTAGACCCAAAGGGGGTTTGTGGTCCATGACAATCATAAAGGGCCGGCTGTAGAGGTAATCGTGGAATTTTTAAACTCCTGCCATGATTGCCAGGTTCTCCTTGTCAATCTGAGCATAGTTGCACTCAGCCAAAGACAAGGTATGTGAATAATAGGCCATGGGAAGCTCCCAGCCATTGGGCAGCCAGTGCCCCAGGACGGCCCCCACCCCATACGGAGATGCATCACAGGCTAGGGCCACAGGGAAGCACTTATTGAAGTGAGTGAGGACCACATTGGAAGTCAACAATTATTTGATGGCCCGGGACGCGGCGGCATGCTTGGGGCCCGAGACCCATGGAGCTTTTTTGTCCAGGAAGCATTGTAGGGGCTTGGCTACGGCAGCTTTATGGGGCAGGAATGAATGGTAAAAGTTTGTTACAATCTTGGTCAAACAGGCTAGGAGTAGAATTTTTCATTGGACAAGTAAATATGATCAATATTTCTTTTTATCCCATTTGTTTTTATTTTTGGCAGTCTCATTTAATGTTAATAAAAAGCAAATTTGCATATTTTTCAATTAAAATGTATGTATAATATTTGTTCATGTCTTGCAGCTCTTTAACATCTGACATTTATTCTATGTGGCTACCCCTGCTTTAATTGCATAGCTTCTAACAGCATATACAATTGTACTGTTTGTCGTACATGTGTGTGTATGAGTGTGTATATGTTTGTGCGTGTATGTATGCATGCCTTTTAAAAGAGAAAACATTTTGTAAGAAAAAAATTTGAGCTTCCCAAAATATCCAAATTTTCCCAGTGGAAAAAACGGAAAACATCCTTGGAAACACTCCCTTCCCCTAACTTTTTGAGGCCTTTACATCTCTATAAACCAACTAGCTCCATGAGCATGAGCAATAATCTGAGCTGGTTGCACACTATAGGGCTGAATTAAGATATGTGGGGAGGGGGGTTATCTGCACTTCACTGTCATTTTGGGCACGTCTCTTTGTGTACAACAAAAGGGCATGTGCAGATCTACTTTGCCAGCCTTTGCAGGATTCCTTTTCCAAGAGCGGAAGGTTTCTTCTCCCACTTTTTTTTTCTGTACTGAGATCTTGAAAGAAGTAGTTTTTGCCCCATGAGGAAGAAACTCACTGACAGGGTGTAGTTTGGCTCAAAAGACTTTTCGCCTCCACCCTCCACTTGCACCTACAATTCCAATAGGGTGACATGTGTTTTTGGAAAAGTTACTCATTGTTTCGCTTACACAGTATGACAATGATCTCCCTTTACTGATCCCTTCCTTGCCAGGGTTCTTTGGTACCAGAAAGATTCTCAAAAAACAGACATGCATTCATCTTGGTTATTACATTTCCAGTGGGAACAGATATTAATTTACAGTTTTATGCCTGGAAGGACTCTTAGTACCTTCCTACTACTACAATGTTGTCTTTGTAGTCTGAAATCCTGCTTCTTTCGCCTGAAAGGCAATAGACTTTGCTTAGTAATAGGCATTCTTCCCTATTTTGCTGAGTTCTATTGAAGTCTGTTGGGCTTAGTTCTTAATAAACAAACACAGGGTCAAGTGGGTCCAAAGGCTACGAACTGCGATGCCAGCATAAACTTGGCTCAGTAAAATATATCACTTTACCTGCCTTATAACTTCTCTCTTCTTGGAACCAATGCAATGAACACAGTAAACTGAATTACATAATTTTTGTAAATTTATAGAATGATGATCTAGAAATAACAGTTTTCTTCTGTGCACATTTTCTCATCTGTGCCATGATTTTATGTTTCAGAATTTATGAAGTTAGCAGGATTTGTCTTTGCATCGATCTGTGCTTGGTACTTAGGATCCTTATTTGCATATATAATACCAGAAGACTCACTGGCAGCAACTTTTGACAACATTCAGAAAGTAGGAGAAAAACCAATACTCAGGGGTATGTATATTCTGCTGGACTTATTTAATAATTCTGGGGCACATTGTCTGCCATTTAATTTGCGCACTTATGAAATAATGACTGTGTTGTCCTGTGCTGTCATAAGAATGAATGCTGTGATTGTTTTGTAAAGTAGTTTTTCCCTGCCCCCCCCCCCCGGAAGGATAACTGTGTCCCTGAGGGCCAAACTACGTGTTTTCTGAAATATATGAAAAAAAACCCATCCCACATCTCTGACATGTGATACGACATTGTGTTATACTCTGCCCACACATACTCTGTATCTTGTGAAAGTCAGAGGGGCACCCAGTGTGATGCAGTATGACTGCTTTAACCAACCTGACTAGGAGATGCATGTTAGCTGCAGCTAATGGTTTAAGGTAATATGTTCATTGACCTTGATATTGTTTTGATATTAGTTCTAAAGACTAACAATACAGTACATTCTTTACAGGTCCACCTTAAGTCCTGTCAACTAAACATGCACTGTCGACAAAACTGTTGTAAAACTTAATTCTCAGGTGTTCTGGGGCCAGATTTAGATCAGGACCCAGATTGTCTTTGTAGTCTGAAATCCTGCTTCTTTGGCCTGAAAGGCAATAGACTTTGCTTGGTAAATACTAGCCTGAAAATGTGACCAGTTTTCCTTTTTCTAAAAACAATATCTACACCTGAAATCTTAGGCATTCTTCCCTATTTTGCTGAGTTCTATTGAAGTCTGTTGGGCTTAGTTCTTAATAAACAAACACAGGGTCAAGTGGGTCCAAAGGCTACGAACTGCGATGCCAGCATAAACTTGGCTCAGTAAAATATATCACTTTACCTGCCTTATAACTTCTCTCTTCTTGGAACCAATGCAATGAACACAGTAAACTGAATTACATAATTTTTGTAAATTTATAGAATGATGATCTAGAAATAACAGTTTTCTTCTGTGCACATTTTCTCATCTGTGCCATGATTTTATGTTTCAGAATTTATGAAGTTAGCAGGATTTGTCTTTGCATCGATCTGTGCTTGGTACTTAGGATCCTTATTTGCATATATAATACCAGAAGACTCACTGGCAGCAACTTTTGACAACATTCAGAAAGTAGGAGAAAAACCAATACTCAGGGGTATGTATATTCTGCTGGACTTATTTAATAATTCTGGGGCACATTGTCTGCCATTTAATTTGCGCACTTATGAAATAATGACTGTGTTGTCCTGTGCTGTCATAAGAATGAATGCTGTGATTGTTTGGGAAAGTAGTTTCTCCCCCCCCCCCCCCCCGAAGGATAACTGTGTCCCTGAGGGCCAAACTACGTGTTTTCTGAAATATATGAAAAAAACCCCATCCCACATCTCTGACATGTGATACGACATTGTGTTATACTCTGCCCACACATACTCTGCGTATCTTGTGAAAGCCAGATGGGCCCCCAGTGTGATGCAGTATGACTGCTTTAACCAACCTGACTAGGAGATGCATGTTAGCTGCAGCTAATGGTTTAAGGTAATATGTACATTGACCTTGATATTGTTTTGATATTAGTTCTAAAGACTAACAATACAGTACATGCACTGTCGACAAAACTGTTGTGAAACTTAATTCTCAGGTGTGTTGGGGCCAGATTTAGATCAGGACCCAGATGTTTGCGGAGAGGGCTCCCCCCCCCCGGTGCAGTTTTCCTGACCTGAAATGGTGCTTGGATCCACCAGTTTACCCTGTTAGGTTTGGGGGCAAACAGCAGAGACCCAGGGCCATTTCAGGTTACAAAAATGATGTGCACTGTGATCTGAATCTGCATTGGGCCTCCAGGTGCCAGAATTAAGTGTCAAGATGGAACTCCCAGCACATGTCTGGATAACAGGACAGGAGGTGAATCCGCAAACAGTGTATTATGGTTAGGAGGAACTTATGTTCAGTCCATCAGTACAGGCAGGTTTTCCCAGTGGGGCAAATAGTGGCTTCCCAGGGCTGTTCTAGATTGGAAAAATGGCCGCAATGTTCCCTCTAAGCTGTGGGGTCTTGTGAGCAAAAATTCTACTTTGTGAGCTCCTGGCATTAAAGTTGTGAGCGAGCGATTTGGCTGCTGCATAAATTAATTTGCCCTGGAGCCATCCTTCCTGAGCTAAGACAAAAATGTGTGAGCCGGACGCTAAAAAACTGTGAGCTAGCTCACACTAACTCAGCTTAGAGGGAACACTGGCTGGGGGTGAAGTGTTAAGCCCCCTTTTTGTGTGTACTGTGGTCCTGATCCAAATCAGGCCTGGGAATTAAGTTTCAACATGGAACTCTCAGCATGCAGTATATACACAGTAAGGCCCCAAGTTATGATGACTTGTCAAATGGCAAAAACATGCTTTGCTTTAGGAAATAAATAAATAAATAAATATGCATTGCAACGCATTGATGTTAAATTTAGCGATGAACCAGAGTTAAGCACATTTAAATCAATTTATTTCACTGGGCCATAAGCATCTTTAATTCAATGTGGGCTTGCAGTCATTTGTATAAACAGTTACAGATACATGTTTGGTTACTAAAGTTTTAGTGTTTTGGTCATTTTATATATGTTTGTTATCAGAACATTTATATACCCCCTTTCTACTTAAAATACATATTCAAAGTGGCTTACAATATAAATATGCAGATAAAACGGTTCAAAACAGAGAGAATCCTCTTTTTTTGTCTTTAATTACAAATAAAAGCATAAAGGGCTTCCAAGCACCTGCATGACACTGTTGATTAACCTTTTAGAAAGAGACAGAGAGATGCAACATTTTCTCCTCAAGATAACTATGATTTTCTGTGTTGTCTGAGTTGTGATCAGATACGCTTTGAACAGGGGTCGTTTCGTAGAAAAAGAGCTAGGGGAACTCATTAGCATAACTCGTTAGTATATGCCACACCCCCTGACATCAACGGAAGTGTGTCATAAGGCCACACCCCCTGACATCAACGGAAGTGTGTCATAAGGCCACACCCACCACTCAGTCATAGTCTTAAAGGTTAGTCTTAAAGCTGCTATTTGTTAGTCTTAAAGGTGCTATTTGAACTCTTGGACTATTTTGCAGCAATAGACTAACACAGCTAATTCCTCTGAATCTAAACCTACCACTCAGGCTCCACCCCCAAAATCTCCAAGGTATTGCCAACTCAGAGCTGGCGAGCCTATCTGATGGCACATGTGGGGGAAAACAAGCAAACCACCCATGTCAGGTAAAAAGGTATTTGCGAAGCCACGCAGTCTGCCCCGCCCTGTCTATGCATGGCTGAGGCCGCTCCACACGGCCTCCACAAGGACTCCCAGGCCCATCCAGGAGCTTCCCCCCCATGTGGATGGCCTTAAAACTTCCATGTAAGCAAGCTCAGCTGGAACCAAGGCATTAACTAATGTCTTCGCCTAACTGGGAGAAAGTGAAAAAGAACAGGGGGAGGGGAGAAAGGAGGGGGGGACCAGAATAGATGGGCCCTCTCTGGCAAGCCACCAAAATAGAAACCTTTATTGGCATAACATAAGTAAACCAGGCAAGGAAAAGTTTAAGGGGTAGTACAAGAACAACATCAACCAATATTCCCGATATTCCAAAATACAAGACAATCCTAACATGATTTACAAGAATTACAGAGTATTACTCTTGACTTCCATACGTAGGTCAAAAATTCAGCGACAGATAGTGTTATTGCTGGGCTCTTGTCTGCTAAAAAAAAAATTAAATCCCTGTCCAGAAAATCTCTCTGCGAAGGGAGAAAAGGGCGAATCAAGATATTGCGCAGAACGGAGTATTTGGGACAGCGGAGAAGGATATGGGTAATAGAGTCAGGTTCCCCAAGATTACAGTTACAAAGTCTATCCCTGTACGGAACACCCCTGTATCTACCTGAGACCACTACTGAAGGGAAAAGGTTGAACCTTGCAAGCATAAAAACCCTCCTAAAAACTGGGGTTATCAGATTAGCGATATACGGTAGCATGGAGGTATGCAAGGGAAGGAGGGGTAATGAATAGGGAGAACAAACTCCGAGACTACTGAAATTAATGGTCTGCGCCTCTATATCCCAAATTCTCCTCCTAACCACCTGTAAGATTGCTGCCTCACCACAGTTATAGAGGGGTTCCAGGTCGATACCTTGTGTACCCACCTTTTTCACTACGGCCTGTGACCACTCTGATGTATAGGAGTCCGCGGCAAGCGTTAATTTTATCATCTTCACACCAAGAGCCAAAGAAACAGTTTTGAGTCTGACTTAACCAAACAAAAAGCCAAAGAGAGAGGGGAGAGGGAGAGGGGGGGGG